AGGTGTGGGTGTGTGGCTGGATAAGCACACTTCTGGTAACATGGGGGTGTGGCCTATAATGCCAATGAGCTGTGCTGTCAGGGGTGTGGCCTAATATGCTAATAGGTTTCTGCTGTTGGGTGTGGCCTATTATACTAATGCGTTCCTGCTGGGCTTTTTCCACAAAAAAAGCCCTGCTTCTTAGCGATTCTGGGCCCCTGGGCCAAAATTCAAGATTAGGCCTCAGAATGATGTGAACGCATGAAGCCGCCTTATACTGAATTTGATCACCGGTCCGTGAAGGTCAGGATTGTCTACTCAGACTGGCAGCGGCTCTCCAGGGTCTCAGGTGGAGGTCTTTCACATCACCTACCGCCCGATCCTTTTGACTGGAGACTGAACCTGGGACCTTCTGTGCTCAAAACAGAGGCTGTTCCACAGCCCCTGCTCAGACGGACAGTGGCTCTCCAGGGCAGGGGCGTAGCCAGAAAATTTTGGTTGAAGAAGAGGAGGAGGAGGAGATTGGATTTACACCCCGCCCTTCACTACCCAAAGGTGTCTCAGAGCGGCTTACAAACTCCTTTCCCTTCCCCTCCCCACAACAGACACCCTGTGAGGTAGGTGGGGGCTGAGAGAGCTCTGACAGAAACTGCTCTTTTTTTCAAGAACAGCTCTTATCAGAACTACGGCTTGCCCAAGGTCATCCAGCAGGTGCAAGTGGAGGAGTGGGGAATCAAACCGGGTTCTCCCAGATTAGAGTCTGCACACTTAACCACTACACCAAACTGGCTCTGGTTGGTGGGGTGTGAGGAAATCTGGGGGGGGGGGCACCCCGGCCGCACCTGCAGCTCCTCTTGCAGCAGCAGAAGAAGCCGCTCCGGCTGCACGGCGACCTCCAGTCCTCCTCTGGTCCTCTCGATTGGAGAGACGCGATTCTGGGCTGCTTTTCTGTGTAAGCCGGGGAGGGGGACGGGATCTCCGACTCTCTCTATTTTGTGTTTTGCAATTTTATTTTATTTTTAAAAATCTGTTTAGTTTTTGGCCTGGGGGGGGGGGATTGTTAAATGGGACCAAAGCTTCCCTGACTGTGCCTGGGGTGATTTTGGAACGCCCACATAAATCTTACATTAAAAAAAATAATAAAACGATATTTTTTTTGAAATCTCCTGGAAGTTTTAGATTCTTTTTTTTTTGCCTGAGTGGGCAGCGCTCATATGTAGGGGGCATTGCCCCCAAATCCCCCCCAGGCTACAGGCCTGCTCCAGGGTCTCAGGTAGAGGGTCATCACATCCCCTATTGCCTGGTCCTTTTAACTGGAGATGCTGGGGATTGAACCTGGGACCTTCTGCATGCCAAGCAGATGCTCTGCCACTGAGCAAAAGTCCCCACTCTGTCTGGCAGCAGCTCTCGAGGGTCTCAGGCGGAGGGCTTTCTCAATCACCCACTGCCTGGTCCTTTAGACTGGAGACGCCAGGGATTGAACCTGGGACCTGCTGCATGCCAAGCAGATGTTCTGCCACTGAGCCACAGCCTCTCCCCGTGGCTTTCCAGGGTCTCAGGCAGGGGTCTTTCACATCACCTACTGCCGGGTCCTTTTAACTGGAGTTGCCGGGGATTGAACCTGGGACCTTCTGCACGCTAAGCCGGTGCACTTTCACTGAACCACAGCCCCTGCTCTGACCAGCAGAAGTTCTCAAGAGTCTCAGGCAGAAGTCTTTCAGATCACCTACTGCCTGGTCCTTTTGACTGAATTGGCAGGGATAAAACCTGGGACCTTCTGCAGGCCAAGCAGATGCTCTACCACTGGGCCACAGCCCCTACTCAGAGAGGCAGCAGCTTTCCAGGGCCTCAGAGGTCTTTCACATCACCTACTGCCAGATGCTTTAACTGGAGATGCCGGGGATTGAACCTGGGACCTTCTGCATGCCGAGCAGAGGCTCTGCCACTGAGCCACAGCCCCTCATACTGCCAGCCCCACCTCCAGGGCCAAGTAAGGAGCAGCCCACACCAGGTGTGTGGTGGGCATGAGCCACCTCTGCTGCTAGAAGCCAGCTGCCCACGCCCCAGACAGGGCAGATGCAAACAACAGCAGGAGCCTCCTCTTCTTCTTTCTCCCCCGCCCATTTATTTATTTATTTATTTATTTAATTGGATTTACTGGGCCGCCCTCCCCTGCAAGCAGGGCTCAGGGCAGCTTACAACAGTGTTATCTGTTCACATACAACTATATTTAAAAACAGTCCAATAAATAACAATAAGTAAAAACAATGTATATACAGTACTTAAGACGACGGAAAATCCTAATTCCCCAGTCTCCCCGAGGGGAGGGGCTGTGGGGAATGAGGAACCACATGCCGGCAGGGGTCCTTTTGTAGAAAAAGAGGTGCAGGAGCTCATTAGCATAACTTATTTGCATATGCCACACACACCGACATCTCCCTTCCCTTCGCCTCCAAGCCGGGCAAAGGAAAAGTGGGGGGAAGGAACTCAGGTACTTCTGCCTGACAGAGGGGCCAGCCTGCCAGCCCCTCTGACCGTCTAAAGAACCCAGTGCCTGGGTTCCATTCCTTTCCCCCTCTCCCTTCCCTTCACCTCCAAGCGGGCCTGACAGAAGTGGGCCAGGGAGGGCGGTGAGTGGGCCAGGGAAGGCCTTCCCCGACTCACCAGCAGGTGACCAGGGAAGGCACAGGGAGGCCTCCCCGCTCCTTGCAGGGCCTTCCCTGGCGCGCCCACCTCAGCAGGCCAGGGAAGGCTGGGGGGAGGGGCTCTCCAGGCTTGTTACCGCTGGAACGCCGTCCCGGCTCATTCCGGCTGGAAACAACCCCTGCACATGCGAGTGCCAGAAGACGTCCCATCGCTGTCCTCAGCCGAAAGCCCAGCGGAACATCTCTGCCTTACATGCCCTGCGGAAAGGTAACGGCTCCCACACGGCACGCATGTCTTCCGGCAGAGCGTTCCACCAGGTAGGGGCCAGGGCTGGACCTCTCTCGGGCCGGGGACCACCAGGAAGTTCTTTATTAAATTTATGAATCGACCAATCCCTACTATCATAGGGCTCTGGACAACATACATAATATTAAAAGAATAACTAGATAAAACAATAAATCAAATTAAATTACATTTTAAAAGGCAGATGGTGAATAGTAATGGTATTTGTCAGAGAGTTCCACCAGGTTGGGGCCAGGACCGAAAAGGCCCTGTCCCTGTCCAAAGACCTCTGGATATCCTTAGGGTCAGAGATCAGCAGGGTGTTGTTATCCAAGTAGTGGAATGCCCTCCTGGGAACATAATGGACTGAGGGGGTCCAAGGCATTGTGGGGTCTAAGTGTGGATGTCCAAGGCGGCCTATTGGCTAAGACTGCCCCTGCTCCAACATCCCGCATCTTCATTCTCATGCAGCCTCTCTCGTATTACCCCGCCACGAACGGCTCCGCTACGCCCTGGCGGTGACCTCCATCTTCCGCCAGCTCATCATTGTGACCCTCCTGATCATCGGTGATTACTCGGTCTTCTGGCTTTTCGACCTAGTGCGGTACCAGCTGCACGGCGAGATAGTGGCGAGGGGTAAGTCCGGACACGGGCCGGGGAGAGGGGCCATGCCAAACGAGCCCCCGTCTAAACTGGTCCACATTCTCGTGTTCCGCTAACCGGCTCCTTTCCCTTGAAGACTAGAGAGAGTTTATATATTGGAGCTCAGGATCGCTGACATATTTACTTACTCAATGAGTTATTAAATTGTGGGATTCAGTGCCAATGGACTAGGGATGCCAGGCTCCAGGGGGGACCTGGAGTTCTCCCGGAATTACAGCTCATCTCCAGACTATGGAGACCAGTTCTCCTGAAGAAAAATGGCTGCTTCGCAGGGCATCGTACCCCACTAAGGTCCTTACCCTCCCCAGGGTACATCCCCAAACCTCCAGGAGTTTCCCAGCCCGGATCTCACAACCTTACCCTGCCCCCCATCTGGTGGGGAAGGAACCTGGGAACCCTGTGTGAGCATAGATTGAGAACCACCATACAGGAATTACACTGTATTTTATCTGATGTATATTAACTGTTTTTAATTATTACCATGTTTCCCCAAAAATAAGACACCGTCTTATATTTATTTTTTCTCAAGAAGACACACTAGGGCTTATTCCACAACTGCATAGAAATCCTGCTAGGGCTTATTTTTGGGGTAGGTCTTATTTTCGGGGGAACAGGGTATATATTAGATTTGATGGAACCCTCCCCGAGCCCACTATGCAAGGAGGACAGGATACAAATCCGACGAAATAAAACAAAAATAAATAAATATTCAGAATAAAGGTCCAGTGACACCTTTAAGACCAACACGTTTAGTTCTGGGTAGAAGTTTTGTGTGCGTGTGTGTGTGTGTGTGTGTGTGCACGACAGCTTATGCCCAGAATCGTTCGTTGGCCCTCCAGGGGAACTTCTCGGCCACTGTGTGAAACATGGGATGCTGCAGTTGATGGACTACTGGTCTGATCCAGCAGAGCTCTTCTGACGTTTTTATGTTAGCAATCTGATGCGAGGCATGGCTTTCCCCAAAGGATCCTGGGAATTGTTGCTTTACAGAGCTGCTGACGATTCTCTCGCCCCATTCTCCCTCTCCCAGAACTACAACTGCCATGATTCCCCAGAGGAGGGAATGCTTATTATACCAGTGGACTTCTGTAGTAAAGTTTTGCCCTAACTGGGGCCAGCGTAATCGGGGCCGGGCCAAGGTTTTTTGCGCCCTAGGCAGGGCTACCTTCTGGCGCGCCTCCCGGCGCATGCGCCCAACAATCATGGGGTTGCCAACCTCCAGGTGGGGCCTGGAGATAAGGAAGTTGCCTTCCTCATGCCTCCCCGCGAAAGAAGCTAAAGCCTCTGGGGGCGAAAAGACTGGACTGGACACCAGCTGAGCAGAGGCCAGAAGGGGCCCGCTTGCCTTGACATGCCACCCTGCCAATCCGGGGAGAGCTTCGCCACCCCAAATCCGAGGCAGGCTCGATCCCCCCCCCCGGTGCTGCTTACTGGCCTCAGCAGCTGGCAAATGAGGACAGTGGACTGGATTGGGCGAGCTGCCCCTCAGCAGCCGTACCTGGCTCGCCCGCTGGAGCCAGGCCGGTGCCGTGCAGGAAGGCAGGCAGGGAGCCGATGACTGGGCACTCTTCATGGCAGGGACCAGCTGTTTGCACCGTTCGCCACGACCACAGGTGGGTAAGCTGGCTGGCTGGCAGGGGTGGGGTGGGCACTCCTGGCTGCCAGGCGATGCCACCCCTGTCCCTGCCCCTGCCATGGCAGCAGCAATGCTAGCAGGAGGGAAGCTGGTGGTGAGCCTGGAGGGAAGCAGAGGCGAGGAGGCGCGACTGAGGGAGGTGGGCAGCCAGGCGCGGCTGGGCATCCTGGGCAGGTGGAGGAGGTGGTGGGCTTTTGGTGGGGGCGGGGGGGCTTTGGCGGGGGGCGGGTCCAGTTTGGCACCCTAAGGGCCGGCCTGCGCTCTAGGCGAATGCCTAGTTCGCCTAGCGGGTGAGCCGGCCCTGAGCGTAATGCCCTTGGGAAGCATAGCAGGGCAGTGTAGGAAACAGAGAACTCCATATCTGAGAACAACACTATCAAGAAGGGCTTTCTGTGCTGATAGACGACATGATTCTCCTCCCACATAGCTCCTGTGACAATGACCGTCAGCGTGACCGGGACGGGCTACTCGGGCGAGATGTACCGGGACATGGTTTCAGCATTTGATGTGTTGCAGCGCGGGAACATCAGCGTGCTGTCCAAGAAATGCCGCTTGCACCCCTCAGAGCCCGATTACGGTGGCTACGTCATTATCGGTAAGCTCCGGTGTGTCAACAAGCCAGGCCCGTAGCTGCGGCGGGGCGTTTTGGGGTCCCCACCTCCTTCATTAAAAGCCCTGCCCCACAAATAGCCATGCCAAAAACCTTACTTTTGAGGATGTTTCCCAAAAGCTCATGAGAATGCTTCTGAAAGTCTCGCTATGACATAGGTGGTATACAGCTGGACGAGGCTAGCAGAAAGGGGGGTTCCCGCAGGGCTCTTTTTGCAGCAGGAACTCCTTTGCATATTAGGCCACACACCCCTAATGTAGCCAATCCTCCAAGAGCTTACAGAGCTCTTCTTACAGGGGCTACTGTAAGCTCTTGGAGGATTGGCTACATTAGGGGTGTGTCACTTAATATGCAAATGAGCTCCTGCTACAAAAAGAGCCCTGTAAGCCCTTCTAAGCTTTCTTGGCCTGTGGAAGGGAACTCAGCAGGCATTTGAATGCCTTCTGAAGGCAGTTAAATGCCCTCTGATCTGTTTTTCCCCCTAGGAACTGACGCACGTACTACCCTGTCGTTTGAAAGGAAGAGCTAGAAACAGGCACGGAGCTCTCCCCCTTTAAAGACAGGCATTCAGATTAATTTAACTCACTGTAATTTAACTGCCCCCTTGAAAATTAAATGGCCCCCGAACAAAAAAAAAATCTTGGCCACGGGCCTGCAACAAGCACAGTTCAAACTGCGTACCGATCAAGTCTTCTTCTTCTTCGAGAGCTGATGCAGTGAAGTGGACAGAGTGTTTAGACTAGGATCCTGGGCGACGTGGGTTCGCTTTTCCACTTCCACCGCGGAAGCTCACTGGCTGATCTCCGGCCCATCCCACTCCCTCAGCCTACTCTATTTCACGGGGTTGATGTCGTGAGGAAATGGCGGGGGAGGGGCCGTGGCTCAGCGGTAGAGCCTCTGCTTGACACGCAGAAGGTCCCAGGTTCAGTCCCTGGCACCTCCGAGTAAAAAGACCAGGTAGGAGGTGATGGGAAAGACCTCAGCCTGAGGCCCTGGAAAGCCGCATCCAGCAGTCTGAGGAGACAATACTGACCTTGATAGACCACTGGTCTGGTTTAGTCTAAGGCGGCTTATGTGTTTGTGTGTGTGAAAGGCCTGCATTGTTCCCTGTAGAAGAGGAGAAGAGATTGGATGTATACCCCGCCCTTCACTCAGAGTCTCGTAGTGGCTTACAAACTCCCTTTCCCCCCCCCCCCCCACAACAGACACCCTGTGAGGTAGGTGGGGCTGAGAGAGATTTGAGAGAAACTGCCGTTTCAAGGACAGCTCTGACAGAACTATGGCTTGCCCAAGGTCATCCAGCAGCTGCAAGTGGAGGAGTGGGGAATCAGACCTGGTTCTCCCAGACTGGAGTCCGTGCACTTAACCACTACACCAAACTGGCTCTCCTACACCAAACTCAGGACCAGGATATCTAAAGGTCCCCCTCACTCCCGGATGAAGCCACCTGCTCTTTAAAGAGGTTCTTTTGCTGGAGGCTGCTGGCTTGAGGGGTTAAGCAGTTAAGCCACCAGAGGCAAGGCCTTTTCTGTTGTGGCACCCCATTTGAGAAAAGCCTTCCCAAGGGACACCCGCCGAGCACCTACTTGCCCAGGCCCTCCTGGAAAAAGGGCTAGATTGAGAGAGACTCATTTTCAGTGTTGGAGCTTTTTTCATAGCCTCTTCTTTGCTTTCCCTTGAAATGGACATTGTTGAGGGGAAAAGCCATGTCCATTTAGTTTCTGATTTCCTTCATTAACTACTGACCTGGATAGCCCAGGATAGCCCGATCCCGTCAGCTCTCGGAAGCTAAGCAGTGTCAGCCTTGGCTAGTATATGGAAGGGCGACCTCCAAGGAATACCAGGGTCATGAAGCAGAGGCAGGCAATGGCTAACCACCTCTGAGATGTCTCTTGCCTTAAAAACAAGTCTAGCCACCTAGTGGTGCATAACGCTAAAGGAGCTAGAACTTCTGGCTGCCAGACCATCTTAGGATCTCCTGGCTATTCTATACACAATGTCATACAGTAATTGTCCTGACCTGGATAGCCCAGGCTGGCCTGATCTCGTCAGATCTGGGAAGCTAAGTAAGGTCGGCCTTGGCTACTATTTGGAAGGGCGACCTCCAAGGAATACCAGGGCAGCAATGCAGAGGCAGGCAATGGCAAACCGCCTCTGAACGTCTCTTGCCTAAAAAACAAGTCTAGCTCGCCACCTAGTGGTGCACAATGCTAAAAGAACTAGCACTTCTGGCTTCTAGACAATCTTAGGATATGCTGGCTATCAGGGGTCATTTCGTAGACAAAAAGGTGGAGGAGCTCATTAGCATAACTCATTAGCATAACTTATTTGCATATGCCACACCCCCTGACATCACCGGAAGTGTGTCAGAGGGCAACACCCACTGCAACTTACCTGGCTGCTGCTTACTCCTCGTGGCCCAGGGCTGCTGGGAGCAGGGGGAGGGGCTTGTTGCATGTACCCGCCCCCTGGGCTCTTTACTGCTGGAGCTCCGCTCCTGTGTGCTCCTGCAGGAAATGACCCCTGCTGGCTATTTTACACACGATAGCCATATGATAATTAACTAATTAATTAGATTTCTTCACTGTCTGCTCTTCTCTCAGCTCTGGTGCAACTGACAAGGCTTTCCCCCCAGCCTTGTAAGTTTCACTGCTGAATGAAGAAATGGGAGTGGAATAAAATAGGATACTGATGGGAGCGCACCTGAGTCCTGTGGAACAATCGAAGCTAGCATTTCCTCACGGGGAAGTATGTCTCCTATACTAGCTGGAGAAGAATGTGGCGATCTTTAAGACAGGAAAAGTACTTCTTGTGCATGGCGGGAGAGTGCATCGGCTGAAGAGGGCATCGTGAAAGCGCTTGAAAATTCACTGTTGTCAATTTCAGACTACTAAAGTCTTTCTAGAAACCAGCATGATGCTCTCAAATGTGCAGTGTTCTGTAGCGGGCCCTTGTGGCCAAAACTGGAATGGCAAAGCACATGGAATGCCTACAGTCCTGAGAAGTGGCAGGAATGGCTGTCACAAGGGGATGGATCCAGGGTTTACATGTTAGGGCCGGCCTTGCACAAGAGCATATGCGTACCGTATGCATGAAAGGCTGCTACTAACCTACAGCCAGTCTTAGCCAACGGGCAACAGGGGAGGCTGCCCTGGTTCCCATGCTGTGGGGGGCCCAACCTCCCGTGGCACCACCCACCCCAGTGGAGGGGGGGCAAAGAAAAATAACAGGCTGCAGTGGCTCAAGTGGTTAAGAAGCTGAACTGCAGGCTGGAAGGTCGGTAGTTCGGCAGTTCGAGACCCGAGTGCCGCGTGACAGAGTGAGCTCCCGTCTCTGGCCCCAGCTCCTGCCAACCTAGCAGTTTGAAAGCAAGAAATTGCAAGTAGATAAATAGGCACTGCTTCGGTGGGAAGGTAATGGCGTTCCGTGTGCCTCGGTGTCTAGTCATGCCAGCCACATGACCACGAAAATATCTTTGGACAGCACTGGCTCTTCAGCTTGAAAACGGAGATGAGCACCGCAACCGTAGAGTCATATTCGACTGGCTTTCAAGCAAGGGAACCTTTACCTGCCTCACATCAAGCGAGGGCTGCCCTTGCTTGGCCCTGCCAGGGAGATCCGGTGGGAAGTCCCTGTGGGGGGTGGCAGTGATTCTGGGACCCCACTGTGGACTTTTTGGCATAGCGGTTAGGAGTGTGGACTCTACTCCAGGAGAACTGGGTTTGATTCCCCACTCCTCCACATGCAGCTGCTGGTGTGACCTTGGGTAAGTCACAAGTTCTCTCAGAGCTGTTCTCTCAAGAGCAGTCCTCGAAAGAGCTCTCTCAGCCCCACCTACCTCACAGGGTGTCTGTTGTGGGGAGGGGGAGGGGAAGATGATTGTAAGCCGCTCTGAAACTCCTTTGGGTAGTGAAGGGCAGGGTATAAATCCAATCTATTCTCCTTTTGACTGGGGCCCCAGAATTACTGAGACCTTTATGGGACCTTTATATCATGTTCAACATCACTGGCAACTTATCCTACCTTACCTCCAAAACATCTTCATCAAGCTTTGTGGCGATTTGGTTCCTCATAATGAAACATCTGACAAAACAAGCTGATATTCCTGATGTAATTGATACTCTATATCTGTGGTCATTTTGAAAGATCTTTCGGTACTTTTAATGTCCAGATTAAAACATAGAAAAGGAAAACAGGGCAGATAATGTCTCTGGCTTATTGTATGTATCTAGATTAGCCTTTATGTATTTTGGTTAAGTCATTGATTATTGTGGCATCTCTGTCATTGTACGATATTGCACTGTCTCATCTTGTTACGCTTGCGATGAGAAAATGCAATAAACTGTTTTTTAGAAAAGAATTACTGAGACCGCTACAGCTCTTTGCCACATGAGACCGGAAGAGCATTTTGCAAAGAAAAACCACCCAGTTTTGCTTGCGGTGTTTCCCCCCCCCCCCTCCCCAATCAATGTTTTATTTGTTATTCAAAAAATAATACAAACATAAAATTCAAGGCAATAAGAATTACAAAGTTATGATAGATCCTAACACGTAGAATAAGGGATAATATACAGTGCACTGTAACATTAGAACAATAAGGATTTTGTAGAGAAATAAGTGGTGAAACTTACCGTCTTTTAACTTAACCTGTGGATATTGAGCTCTTAAAGGTAAAGGTAAAGGTTCCCTTGCTCGAAAGCCAGTTGAATCCGACTCTAGGGTTGCGGTGCTCATCTCCGTTTCGAAGCCGAAGAGCCAGCCCTGTCCGAAGACGTTTCCGTGGTCATGTGGCCGGCAGGACTAAACACCAAGGCGCACGGAACGCTGTTTCCTTCCCACCGAAGTGGTACCTATGTATCTACTTGCAATTTCTTGCTTTCGAACTGCTAGGTTGGCAGGAGCTGGAACTAGAGGCGGGAGCTCACTCCATCATGCGGCATACTCGGGTCTCGAACTGCTGAACTACCAACCTTCCACAGCCTGCAGTTCAGCGTCTTAACCACTTGAGCCACCGCAGATCTTAGATAAGCGAAAAAAAGATGATTAGGGCAGCTTAATAAACCTTACCATACTTGCAGTGTTTTTAAAAAATTAATATGTATGCAATTTCCCCCCTACCATTACAATCATAGATGTTACATTCAATGCTCCCTCTAAGCTGTGGAGTCTTGTGAGCAAAAATTCTACTTTGTGAGCTATTGGCATTAAACTTGTGAGCAGGCGATTTGGCTACTGAATAAATTAGTTTGCTCTGGAGCCATCCCTCCTGAGCTGAGACAGAAATGTGTGAGCCGGAGGCTAAAGAACTGTGAGCTGGCTCACACTAACTCAGCTTAGAGGGAACACTGGTTACATTTTAGATTTTTTTTTTAAGATAGAAAAGCTCAAGGAGCAGAGCTATAGAAGGAAGCTGGCTGATTATCCACATCATTTAAAAACAACAACAACATATGTTTCAAAAAACATCCCTCTGCTTTCTGGCTATTCCCTGCACCACTTATGTTTCAGCTGCTTAAGTAGCATCTCATTTCTAAAGGGGAAAAAATACACAGATTTTCAGTCTTCAGACTGTCACATCTGGATGCTTCAGATGCTGGCAGTCCTTAAAATGTGCACAAAATCTCATTTTCCTGGAAACTGGCTTTGAACCAATGTGGTATAGAGGTTAAAGGTTTCTCTTGCACGAAAACCAGTCAAATCCGACTCTAGGGGGCAGTGCTCGTCCCCACTTCCAAGCCGAAGAGCCAGCGCTGTCCGCAGACGTTTCCGTGGTCATGTGGCCGGCATGACTAAACGCCAAGGCGCACGGAACACTGTTACCTTCCCACTGAAGTAGTACCTATTTATTTGCAATTTCTTGCTTTTGGAACTGCTAGGTTGGCAGGAGCTGGGGCCAGAGACGGGAGCTCACCCTGTCATGCGGCACTAGGGTCTCGAACTATCGAACTAAAGACCTTCCAGTCTGCAATTCTGCGTCATAACCTCTGAGCCACCGCAGCCCTAGGAGACCCAGGTTACAATCCCCACTCTTCCTTGGTGGCGGGCTGGTAAACCTTGGGCCGGTCACACTCTCTCAGTCTAGCCTACCTTACTGGGTTGTTGTGGAGACAAAATGGAGAAAAGGAGACTGTTGTAAGCGACTTTGGGTCCCCACTGGGGAGAAAATTGAGCCATTTTTATTTTTATTTTTATTGCTGTTCTCTCAAGCAGTTCTCTCAGAGCTCTCTCAGCCCCACCTACCTCATGGTGTGTCATGGGGAGAGGAAGGGAAGGTGATTGTAAGCCGCTCTGAGACTCCACTGGTGTAGGGCAGGGTATAAATCTAACTTTCCTCCTCCTCCTCCTACTAGTACTAGTTAAGCAAAAATTAGATAGTCTGTGCCAAATCAAGGTGGTACACCCTCAGCTCAGTGATCTTTACAAGCCACTCCAAAGCTTCCAAAATAAGGACTTGCTTTAACACCTCCAATAAAACTTTAGAGCTACAATCAAGAAGATACAATAAAAGGTTTCCATTTAGGAGATGATCTTGACTTCACTTTCAACTTCAATTTCTGACCTGGAAACTGTAAAGATTTAAACAGGGATGAAACTGGGTACATAAATCCCACACTCATAGAGCAATTATTGGTTTGTACATTTCATATGGATGCCTGGGGGAAAAGATTTCAGTCCATAACCCCTTACTAACCAGTTACTGTCCATCCAGTTTAGCCTTGCTTCCCGCCACAAAACAAAATACACACCCTCTCCATCTGGTGGTGGCTACAAGCACAGACAGCTTCAAGAGGGGGCTGGATGAACTTATGGAGGAGAGGTCCATCAGTGGCTATATAGGTATAGAAGGAACACTCTGGCTGGGCTAGTCTTGTGGGGAGGGGAAGGGAAGGTGATTGTGACGTTCCGTATTGTTGGTGCTTGGGGGGGGGCAAGAGTGGGAAGGCTTCTGGAGTTCTGGCTGGTGGACCTCCTGATGGCCCCTGGTATTTTTGGCCCCTGTGTGATGGTGCGTTCAGACGGGGCGTTTCTGCCAGCATAAACTGCACCGGTTGGAACTTACCTCCTGTCTGCGGATCCCTTCGGTGGACGCCCGCTTACACACTGCGGGCGTCGGGGTTTTTTGGTTTTTTTTAAAGCACAGTTTGAGCATGCGCATAGGCAGCCATTCAGAGAATGGCGATCTTTGCGCATGCTCAACCCCCCCCCCCCCCTTAAATTTAAACTTTAAAGGTAAGGACTTACCTTTAAAGTTTAAAGCCCAACCTGGCCTCCCTGTAGTCCCGGACTCCTCCGGGAAGTTAAACTAAGAGCTTTTTCTCCCCTAACAAACGCTTGGGGCGAAGCTTCGCCCGAGCGCATATCGCTTAGTTTAAAAAAAAAATGGCGGGGGAAAGCCGGAAGCCTCAGGCTTCCGACGGAAGTGTCTCTGCAACGGAGGAGAGCGATCAGACGCCGGGGTGCACCATTTACAACCGTTGCACTCAGTTTACCACCACTTGGGACCTAGTGGCAGAGTGAACGGTGTAAAGGGATTTACAACGGTTAGGGACGGGAGGCAGATGTTCGCCGTGTGAACGCCCGTAAGTACACCGGTTGGAACCGGCACCCTAACCGTTGTAAATCCCCCGTCTGAACGCACCCAGAGTGTTGGACTAGATCGGCCATTGGACTGATCCAACATGGCTTCTCTGATGTCCTTATGCCTCCTGAAGATCCTCTTCAGGAAGCCACCACGGAGAAGGCCCGGGCTCCACTCAGTGCCAGATGGGACAGCCAAGAATCTCCCCCTTCCGCTCAATGTAGGAAAACCAGAACTAGAGCCTCCGTGGTGGATGCTCTGTCCGGCCTCTTCTTGAAAACCTCCCGCGAAGGAGAGCTGACCTGACGGCTGCTTCCATTTGTCCCCCTCCCCAGGTCTCATGTACGGAGCCTGTTTATTCATCGCCGTCTTTGGCAGCTACGTGCAGCGGCTGCGGCGGATCGTGTGCGCCTGGTACTACCCCTCCCGTGAGCAGGTGAGAGCAACACACGACCTCCCCCCACCATCCACCAGTCCTGGAATGGGCTGACATTTCCCACAGGTCTGATTGGCTAGTGACTGTTCAGTGGCTTGCTCCTTTTTCTGTTCTGCCTGCAGCCAGGGGCGGACTGGCCATTATAACCAGTGGGGAATTTCCCAGGGGGCCAATAACTTGCCCCCCCACTTGGGCTGGTCCAGTCCGGGGGGGGCACATATGGCCCAGGGAAGGGGGCTTCTAGCCAGCATGAGCAACAGGTGCCTCAGGGAAAACTGCTCCTGACCCAGAAAACCTGCAGAAGGTGCCCAGCCGAGTCCAGCCAATCAAGGTGCAGGGCTGGCTGGCTCTTCCTTCAATCCTCCCTCCCTCCTTTGTGGGGGCAGGGCGTGGATAGATCAGGGGCAGGGCCCTTTTCCAGGGCTGTTTTTGCTCCCAGTCTGCCCTGGCCTGCAGTATGCAATTTGGCTTACTTGCTCGAGCTGTTCATTGTGCCCTTGAACTGCTCCTGCCAAAGGTTTGTGTAGCATTGGTCTTCAGCAGAGACCATGAACTGTGCGCCCTGCCCCCTGCACCTTCCCTACCTCACAGGGTTGTTGCAAGGATAAAATAGGAGCCAGAGGACCATGTCCACTGCCCTCATCTCCTTGGAGGACAGGTGGGGGGAAAATACCCGAGCTGGCCAGATCCTTGACATGAATCTTGGACAATTGACCCTCCAGCATACAGATGACACAGTTCAAGTGGGTTGGTCTTAGGAATAGTGCTCCTTAATAACATAAGAAGAACCCTGCTGGATCAGTCCATCCTGCCTCACACAGTGGCCCCAACCAGTTCCTCTGGGGGGCCAGCAACAGGGCAGAGAGGCCGAAGCCTTCCCCTCATAAGAACATCAGAAGAGCCCTGCTGGATCAGACCACTGAGGGTCCCTCTAGTCCAGCATCCCGTCTCACACAGGGGCCTCAACCAGTTCCTCTGGAGGGCCAACAACAGGGTGTAGAGGCTGAGGCCTTCCCCTCATAAGAATATAAGAAAAACCCGGCTGGATCAGAGCAGTGGTCCATCTAGTCCAGCATCCTGTCTCACACAGTGGCCTCAACCAGTTCCTCTGGAGGGCCAGCAACAGGGCAGAGAGGCCAAGACCTTCCCCTGAGGTTGCCTTCTGACTCTGGGATTCAGAGGATTAGTGCCTCTGAATGTGGAAGTTCCCTTCAGTCACCATGGCAAGTAGCCATTGATAAATGTATCCTCAGTGAGGCTCCATCTGGTCCAGCATTCCTGTCTCACACAGAGGCCAACCAGTCCCCCTAGAGAGCCAAACAAACAGGGCACAGAGGCCCAGGCCTTCCCCTGACCCCCTTTGTGGGGGGCACCAGTTGCCACTGATGTTTTTTAAACCAGATTCCCCCTCCTTTTCCTCCAAACAAGCTATTTTTAAAAAGGAGCTGTCACATCGCAAAGCTTCTTGTTCAAACTATGGGTGGTAGTGAAAGTGCCATCCAGTCGCAGGTGACCGAGGGTGACCTCGTAGGCTTTTCAAGGCAAGAGAGGTTCAGAAAGGGTTTGCCACTTCCTGCCTCTGCGTAGCAACCCTGGACTTCCTTGGGGGTCTCCCATCCAAGCGCTAACCAGGGCTGACCCTGCTTAACTTTGGGATCGGATGAGATCGGGCTAGCCATCCAGGTTGGGGCAAACAATGTATAGAAAGGGCGAACTGGTACTCTGGGCAGGGCCATGCAGGGGCTGGCCCCGCCTTGTGATAGGGCCCTGCATTCTGCGCCAGGCAGTTTCTTCTGCTCACTCGGGACTCCCTGCCCCTAGGAAAGAATCTGCTACCTCTACAACACCATCCTGACCCGAAGGACGACTTTACTGAGTGCTGTGCTGAAGGCCGTGAGGAGGCGTTCAGTGGACGGAGGTCATACCAACCTCTTCCTCATCTTGGCTGCCAAGTAAGTTGGAGATATTTTTCCTAGAGAGGCAGAGGATTGACACATGGTTCTGTCTTCAAAAAGTCACCTTTTTGAAGTTTGGTGTAGTGGTGAGGAGCAATGTTCCCTCTAAGCTGTGGAGTCCTGTGAGCAAAAATTCTACTTTGTGAGCTACAGGCATTAAAGTTGTGAGTAAGAGATTTGGCTACTGCATACATTAGTTTGCTCCGGAGCCCTCCTTCCTGAGCTAAGACAAAAACCTGTGAGCTGGAGGCTAAAAAACTCAGCTTAGAGGGAACACTGGTGAGGAGTGCGGACTCCCAGATTACTGGGAGAACCAGGTTTGATTCCCCACTCCTCCACATGCAGCTGCTGGGTGACCTTGGGTCAGTCACAAGTTCTCTCAGAGCTGTTCTCTGAAGAGCAGTTCTTGAAGAGCTCTCTCAGCCCCACCTACCTCACAGGCAGTGTTACCTCTAAACTGAGTTAGTGTGAGCTGGCTCACAGTTTTTTAGGCTTCAGCTCACACAATTTTGTCTTAGCTCAGGAAAGATGGCTCCAGAACAAACTAATTTATGCAGGAGCCAAATTACACACTCACAACTTTAATGCTAGTAGCTCACAAAGTAGAATTTTTGCTCACAACACTCCACAACTTAGATGGAGCATTGCTCACAGGGTGCCTGTTGAGGGGAGAAGAAGGGGAGGACATTGTAAGCCACTGTGAGACGCCGAGTGAAGGGCGGGGTATAAATCCAATCTCTTCCTCTTCCTCTTTTACACAAAGAGTGGTTAAAATGTGGAATTCGCTGTCAGAGGATGTAGTGATGGCCACAGGAAGGGGACAAGATAGATTCATGGAGGAGAGGTCTATCAGTGGCTACCAGCCATGGTGGCTGAGGGGAACCTTCACATTCAGAGGCACTAAGCCTCTGATTCCCAGACCGCCAAGCTTTCTCCCTCTCTTTGCCCCCAGCGGCGGCAGCGAGGCCTCACTGGCCCGCCAAGCTTTCTCCCTCTCTTTGCCCCCAGCGGCGGCAGCGAGGCCTCACTGGCCCGCCAAGCTTTCTCCCTCTCTTTGCCCCCAGCGGCGGCAGCGAGGCCTCACTGGCCCGCCAAGCTTTCTCCCTCTCTTTGCCCCCAGCGGCGGCAGCGAGGCCTCACTGGCCCGCCAAGCTTTCTCCCTCTCTTTGCCCCCAGCGGCGGCAGCGAGGCCTCACTGGCCCGCCAAGCTTTCTCCCTCTCTTTGCCCCCAGCGGCGGCAGCGAGGCCTCACTGGCCCGCCAAGCTTTCTCCCTCTCTTTGCCCCCAGCGGCGGCAGCGAGGCCTCACTGGCCCGCCAAGCTTTCTCCCTCTCTTTGCCCCCAGCGGCGGCAGCGAGGCCTCACTGGCCCGCCAAGCTTTCTCCCTCTCTTTGCCCCCAGCGGCGGCAGCGAGGCCTCACTGGCCCGCCAAGCTTTCTCCCTCTCTTTGCCCCCAGCGGCGGCAGCGAGGCCTCACTGGCCCGCCAAGCTTTCTCCCTCTCTTTGCCCCCAGCGGCGGCAGCGAGGCCTCACTGGCCCGCCAAGCTTTCTCCCTCCCTTTGCCCCCAGCGGCGGCAGCGAGGCCTCACTGGCCCGCCAAGCTTTCTCCCTCTCTTTGCCCCCAGCGGCGGCAGCGAGGCCTCACTGGCCCGCCAAGCTTTCTCCCTCTCTTTGCCCCCAGCGGCGGCAGCGAGGCCTCACTGGCCCGCCAAGCTTTCTCCCTCTCTTTGCCCCCAGCGGCGGCAGCGAGGCCTCACTGGCCCGCCAAGCTTTCTCCCTCCACCCTCCCCCGTCGGCGGTGGCAGCGAGGCCTCGGCGGCCCACCAAACTTTCTCCCTCCCCCTCTCTGGCGGCGGCGGCAAAGCCGTTCTAAGAGCATTCCCTGCACATCCTCAGGGTATGCTCTTTTACTTTTGGGGGGGATTTACTTATCCCCCCTATATTTTTTACAGTTTTTTCTGCACACCTGGGCATTGCCCCGTGTGCGCAGGAAAACCTCACTGCCCCCCAGGTGCCCCCGATGTGCGGATTTGGATATCCGCACGCAGGGGGCGCCTTGGGAATTAGATATATAGATGTGCTGATTAAACTCCCCCATCCAGGCATTCCAGATCCCGTCATTAGCATGAATTAGGCACGCTGAGCTTGCCGCGCAGTCTCTTACTCAGCACCATCTGCCCTCTCATGCTCATCTGCACAATTAAGTCTGGTTTGGCCCATCATGGGAAGGGGCAAGGCTGCTGGAAACCCCGCCCACTGCAACGTCTCATGCAGCCAACTCTTTGGCTGGCGAGACTGCTGCGGGCGTTTCCCACACGCTTTCCACGCGATCCTCGCAGCCAGAAGGCCTAGAGGCTCGGCTGGTTCGGCAACCCCTTCCAGCTTCTCAGATGGCAGCACGCACCGTTCAGGCTGCCCCCCCTCAAGTACATCTTCACCACCCCCACCCCTGTGTTCCCTCCAAGCTGAGTGAGTGTGAGCCCGCTCACAGTTTTCTAGCCTCCAGCTCACACGTTTGTCGTAGCTCAGGAAGGAGGGCTCCAGAGCAAACTAACTTATGCAGCAGCCAAATCGCTCGCTCACAGCTTCATTGCCCGTAGCTCACAATTTTTGCTCACAACTCTCCTCAGCTTAGAGGGCGCACTGCACCCGAAATTTAAAAAAAAAATGTAACTCGTATGGATTTGTTGGTAACCAGTTTGGTGTAGTGGTTAAGTGTGCAGATTCTAATCTGGGAGCACCGGGTTTGATTCCCCACTCCTCCACCTGCAGCTGCTGGATGACCTTGGGCAAGCCGTAGTTCTGTCAGAGCTGTCCTTGAAAGAGCAGTTCTCTCAAAGCTCTCTCAGCCCCACCGACCTCAGAGGGTGCCTGTTGTGGGGAGGGGAAGGGAAAGGCGTTTGTAAGCCGCTCTGAGACTCCGAATGACGGGCAGGGTATAAATCCAATCTCCCCCCCCTCCTCCTTGATAGTCGATTATATCTGCATCAATTGACATTTGTGCGGAAAGCAGTTATATAAAGAAGAATGCTTTCTTACTATTTTTAAGCAACGCCCTCATGTGCTGTGTCGTGAAGTACCAGTTTGGTGTAGTGGTTAAGTGTGCAGACTCTAATCTGGGAGAACCGGGTTTGAGTCCCCACTCCTCCTCCACATGCAGCTGCTGGTGTGACCTTGGGTCAGTCACAAGTTCTCTCAGAGCTGCTCTCTCAGGAGCATTCCTTGAAAGAGCTCTCTCAGCCCCCACCTGCCTCACAGGGTGTCTGTTGTGGGGAGGGGGAGGGGGTTGTAAGCTGCTATGAGACTCTGAGTGAAGGGCGGGGTAGAAATCCAACCTCTTCTTTCTTCTTCTACCTTAGAGGAGGCATCCCTACCCTTTTCTCTCTCACACAGAAGGGAATGCCTCTTCCAGTGCCACCTCAGGTACCCCACATCATCCTGTGCGCTCCCGCAGGAAATGACCCCTGCCATAACCTACTGTCTGGTCCTTTTAACTGGGGACACCAGGGATTGAACTCTGCATGCCAAGAGCCAGTTTGGTGTCGTGGTTAAGTGCGCGGACTCTAATCTGGGAGAACCGGGTTTGATTCCCCACTCCTCCACTTGCACCTGCTGATGTGACCTTGGGTCAGTCACAAGCTCTGGCACAGCTGTCCTTGAAAAAGAGCAGTTTGCGTCAGAGTTCTCTCAGCCCCACCCACCTCACAGGGTGTCTGTTGTGGGGAGGGGAAGGGAAAGGAGTTTGTAAGCCGCTCTGAGACACCTTTGGGTAGTGAAGGGCGGGGTATAAATCCAATCTCCTCTTCAGTGTTCCCTCTAAGCTGAGTTAGTGTGACCTAGCTCACAGTTTTTTAGCCTCCGGCTCACACATTTCTGTCTCGGCTCAGGAAGGAGGGCTCCAGAGCAAACTAAGTTATGCCACAGCCAAATCACCTGCTCAGAACTTTAATGGCAGTAGCTCACAAAGTAGAATTTTTGCTCACAAGACTCCACAGCTTAGAGGGAACATTGCTCCTCTTCTTCTTTTACCTCACAGGGTGTCTGTTGTGGGGAGGGGAAGGGAAAGGAGTTTGTAAGCCGCTCTGAGACACCTTTGGGTAGTGAAGGGCGGAGTGTAAATCCAATCTCCTCTTCTTCTTCTTTTACCTCACAGGGTGTCTGTTGTGGGGTGGGGAAGGAAAAGGAGTTTGTAAGCCGCTCTGAGACACCTTTGGGTAGTGAAGGGCGGGGTAGAAATCCAATCTCCTCTTCTTCTTCTTTTACCTCACAGGGTGTCTGTTGTGGGGAGGGGAAGGGAAAGGAGTTTGTAAGCCGCTCTGAGACTCCAAGTGAAGGGCGGGGTATAAATCCAATCTCTTCTTCTTCTCTTCTTCTTCCACTGAGCGACAGCCCCTCCCCACCCTTGGCCCATCCAGATCAGTCTGGTCTGCTCAGACTGGCAGCCGCTCTCCAAGGTCCCAGGCGGAGGTCTTTCCCATTCACCTCCTGCCTGGTCCTCTTCACTGGTGATGCCGGAGATTGAACCTGGGGCCTTCCGCATGCCAAGCAGAGGCTCTTCCACTGAGCCACAGCCCCTCCCAAAATCTGGGCCCGGGCCCGGTGCCAGCCTATTGTAACCTCCCCCCCCCCCCGCTCTCCTTTGCAGGGTACCCCCGCTGGCCTGG